TCATTTTGTATAAGAACCACCCAAGTAAAAAACAGAACTCAAGCTACTCAAGTATTGAATCAAAACTCAGTTCTTGAATCAAACCTCGGTTCCTTGTGGTCACCCCTTGTGTCCATAATGAATGCGTATACGTCTGCCATCCAATAACTGAAATGAAGCATAAGACAGAATTGAGATATAATAATACTGTTGTTGGAAAAAAGAAAAAAAAAATACCTAGTTACCTCATATTTACAACCAAGTGACAAACTATGTCAAGTCACTCAAAATGTACCTGACCATCCATTTCCCTCAAGGCTGTACCAGCTGCAGTCTCAGAATTGAACTGCACAAACCCATATCCTTTTGATTTTCCAGTCACGTGATCACATATAACTTTCACTGCTAAGTATGACAACGTAAATTGCCTTAAATGAATTTCACAGGTATATATAGAATCCCAAGGATATTGTGAGTCTGTGTTACATCCCCTTCAATTATTTCAGCATGCTGTCCAAAAGCATCCTTGAGAACACTTTCATTGGTATCATCAGAAAGCCCTGCAACCAAAGCACGTATTGCTCACACAACTTGGTTTTAAATTCTAATACTAAGAACAAGGCCACTTTATAATTTTTGTTTTATTACCAAAGAATTATAGCATCCACTGCTCTACTTTTCTACAAAGCACAAGTACTACATTGTTCAGGTTATTGCTGCATTTTTACTCATTTAAACACAAGATCAGTATCACCACTGTACAAATATTACTCACATTAACAGTATCAAAAATAATCTATGAATTTAGAAATTGCTGAGCTTTCTTTACAAGAAACATCTTTTTAGGCAATCATGCTAGCAACCCTCAGTATAAAGAAAACTCACAGATAAAATTAGGCAATCTCACTTCTCTAAAATCTATGAAGCACGGATACTTCAAAAAGGGTAACGTATCCGTATCGGATACTTATCGGATACTGATACTCCTCGAATACTCGCGGATACGTATCGGATACTTCTTAATTAATTTTTTATTAATTTTGAAGTATCGAATACTTAATTTTGAAGTATCGAATACTCGAAGTTACATATTACTTATAATATTTTGTTTAGTTCTTTCATAAGAGGAATATAGTGAGAGCTAAAGTAATATAATTTGTCAAATTGATGTATTCTTGTTGTCTCTCTCACTTCTCTCTCGCTTTCTCACTCTCTCACGTTTCTTCTCTCTGCTCTCATTCTTTTTTTGGTGTTGGCATGTAAGGATGATGTTTAATTTGCATTTGCATTTGCATTTGCTTTTGCTTTTAGTTTTGGATGTTTTATGAATGTTTGAGCACTTTTAGGTTAATAGGAATCCCTCTCTTTATTTATTAATTTACTTTAAGTTTTATTTTCATGCATATTACATTATTAAAATTATAAAAAAAAAAAAATTATGAATGTATCCCCGCTGTACCCATATCATACTTTTTCAAATTTTGACATATCGTCATATCCACATTCCCATATCACCATATTCGTATCCGTGCTTCCTAGGCTATCATTGATGACTTAAAAAAGTATATTTGCTGAAATTTTTATTTAAGAATGATTTTTTGGCTTTGGCGCTAAGGTCTTGTGATATTCACTGATGAAGGGGAACAAGTTGAAACTATTGATCTTGAAGACTCTTAGTTTTGTAGGAATCTTTCTTCTTTATCAAGTTGTGTTTTGCTTTAAGTTTTATTTTTATGCATACTGCATTACTAAAAATTGTCAAAATAATATTTTTTACGAACGTATCCCCGCCGTACCCGTATCCTAGTTTTTCAAATTTTGTCGTATCGCCGTATCGTATCGTATCCGTATCCGTATCCCGTATCTGTATCCGTGCTTCCTAATCTAAAATTCACAACTATCATGGTTTGTTTTCAAAATGACCATCAGTCCATTATCTATCTTGAAACAACTTAAAACCACCTTGCCACCATTTCCACTGTGACCACGGCCCACTTCTGAACCTGCATCCTTGTTGCCTAATCATAAATGCTAATTGATCCTTCAATGGCAGTCAATTTGTTTTACACCCACTAATTTATCCCCCCCTCCCCCAAAAAAAAAAAATTTGTTTAACACCCACTATTTAGATTTATTTTAGCAACTTACCCCTAAATCTTTCTCTAGACTCTGTAGGCATTTATGGATGTGAATCATGTGATACTTAAATCATCAAATGAAAAAAATAAAAATAAAAAAATTGTGAACTTCATGTGGGCATTTTTCAAATTTGAGCAAGATATGGATCCTTTTTTAACTCAACACAGATTTTTTAAACTCATTCCATTGGAAGATGTACAACTATACAAAATTATTTGCCTAATGTTGATTTAAAATGCCTTCACTTTATTGTTCTTAACTAATTATAGATGAGTGTGTTTTAAGGGCTGAATCCAAAGTTTATCTCAAACATATTACTTCTTCATTGATATTTCTATATAAAATAAAAAACAAGTATGCATAAAATAAAATATTTGAATATAAACTTCAAAACAAAAATAAACTACAATCCCAGAATTTTTTTTCCCCTGATTTGAGTAAAATTTCCCCCTATTATGCCAGCTCACAAATAAGAGTGCCTTGGTGACAGAAAGAAATATGGTTCTAAGGGATTGTTTGGCTTAGCTAAAAAGTCACTAAAAAAAATCATAAAATCATAAAAAAAAAAAAAGGTGAAAAATTCCTTCCATTCTCTCTACTACTTGCATGTTTTTGTATAGAAGTCAAAATCATTCTCAAACACTAATTTTTTGCACCTCATATTTTAACTAAACAGCCACTAAAAAGTTGACTTCCAAACAGACCCTAATTTCTATGACAAATTATTGCAAGTGTTTGAAGAACTAAAAGTGGTTATGCAATATATCCATTAGGACATGACAAGTCGTAGCAACCACAAAACATCCCCAACCTAAGAAGACAAAAGCTGAACTTTATATTTATATGTTAATGGAAACATCTAGTGGGTTCACTTTCTCAAATAATAATATAAGGAGATATATGTACATGAGTATCATGAAATACTTATAATCTGGTCATGATACCAATGATTAATTATAATTTCAGAAAAGTAAAATATTACAAATTTCCAACTAAACGAGGTTTACATATATGGCAACAACAATAACAAAGACAACAACAAAAATTAGTAACAAGCAATGGTCAAAGGAATCCCAAGGTGTGGGGATTCTTTTGGTAACAAGGTTTAAAGTATCATATCAATAAGGTTAAGAACAGGAGTCAACAAGAATCATCAAATATTAGAAGATAATGAACAAAGGTTTAAAAGGATAGATTAATAACAGATACACATGTTCTCTTTTCCTTTTTCCTCTTTTTGTTTTTCATTTTTGATTATTAAATACATATGGCCACAAACTCAAATTCTAAAATATCAGTGAAAGTGTATTAAATTTATGTTAGACTACATAAATAGATGTCAATCCTATACTAGCTCTTCATTTAAAGGATTACATGATGGCATCAGCGAAGTAAAGAGTGCTGTTGAAATAACATTTGTCCATGCATAAATCATTAATCAAGATGGCCATAATGGACTTTACCTATGAAGTGTGGTAGCTCTAACTCTACAAGTACTTCACGTACAACTTTGCAAAATGGGAAACCCTGAAAGGAAAGATGAAATATTACTATTTATAAGTAAAAATAATAGCTACAGTGTTTCACTGAAAAACAAGGAAGTATGACCAATCTTAAGAATGCGTGTCTAAAATAAATTAGGTGCCTTATCTGTACTGAAATATAAACATCAAATATCCATCAGTAACCCACAGTCTAACCTTATATGCCCATATTTCAAGAGGTTCGGGTGGCAGTTTTGATGGAGTAAAATAACCCCCCAACATAAATAACAACATGAGACTCTGAAAAGAGGCAACAATTTTCTCTAATCACATTATTAAGCCAACAAAACATTACAAATTGTGCATTAAATTCATAGACAACAATTTTCTCAACACAAACAAAAAAAAAGAAAAAAAAAAGAGACAGAAAAACAGAACAAACCAATAAACAAAAATGTAGGCACTATTATTCCATTGTGGCATTTTATCAAACACCTAGCATACATAATGAATCCTAAAGCATGAGATTTTATTGTGTAGCATCAACAACAATCTATTCACTTCACTAATTATATTGGTTAAAATATGAATATCATAGATGATCAAAAATCAGAATACCAACAATTTTTTTTTTTTCTGTTTTCTAAATTATTTTCCCAAATCAAAATAATTCAAGATGTTCATGAAATCCTTCAAAGTAGAGAAGTTTTGGAGATATTAGAAGCATTGAATGGAGTGGCAAGTCGTAGCTTAACAATGACTTTCATTGACCCAAACTTGACCGAAGACAGTGAGGGAAAAACACAAACAAAGATGGTAGAAGAAAGAGAGAATGGCAGAGAGATAAACCGAGAGACAAGAAGAAAGAAAGGGATAGAGAAAGAGAAACAGAGAGAGCAAACTGACCTTGAAATCACAGTGGGAGGATGATGAACGCTGCGGGGGAGAATGAACGCTGATGCGTCGCCGCGGGGAGGATGAACTCTGATACTTCCCCCAAAGAAGTGTTGTGGACTAGGGCACAAATTTGAGTTGAACGGTTTTTTTTTTTTTTTGGGACAGAAATACTGATATGTTATTCACCCACACGCCCAAAAAAAAAAATTATGATTCCGCGGGAAATCAGAGTTGAATTTAGCGGGCCTTTATTTTGCCGGGATTTTTGTAACGGTTGAGTACAAGCTGTCACTATAAAAAGATATATGGCAGCCTTTTAGGAAAAAAATGTTACTAAAAATTAAATTTTTAGTTATGGTCAATAACCGCTACAATAGCCCATCTATAGCAACATTTTTCAGGCCGCTACAATAAAAAATGCTGCTAAAACTTGATTTTCTTGTAGTGATAGCAGCCAGTTGGGCATAGCAGACCAACAGATCTGTTCAACCATCACACCCTTCAACAATCAGCAAGACTATGTAGCCACAAACTCAACCACCATTCCAGAAGCACAAGATACAGCCTCACTCCATAATGTGAACCTGATATACACAGACACAGATAACAGGACAAACAATCAAAGAGACAGAGCAGCAAGCACAGACCAGAACAATAAACTCTGGCTAGAAGAAACAAATCTAGTAGCAACTCTATATCAGCAGTTGCCAAGCTTTACACTCCATATCTACAGCAACTGCTAGGATGACTCCCAACTATACACAATAGCATACCTGCTTCAAATTAGATACTATGCCATGCACTGAGTACTACAACTCTTTCAAATTTGATTATGCCCATAAAGCAACTCTAACCTTTACCAACTCAGTTAATTGAAATCTAGATTTGCCTCTGTAAACAAACACTCATTCCTTAGTTTCCACACAGACCACATCATTGCTAAAGGAACTACCTTCCAAATTTCCTTCACCTGAATCTTATGTCATATACCTGACCACCATTGTAAGAGTTCCTCCACTGAACCAGGGATGATCCAACTCAAATTCCACCAGTTAACAATATCAGACCATACTCTCCATATCGAATGACAATGTAGAAGCACATGTTTCATGGTCTCCACTTCAGATTTACAAAACACATATAATGGGTTGGCATTTGGATTCAACACTCCTATTCTAAGCAAAAAGCTAAGGATTTAATCCTACCTCTCCAAGCTAGCCAACTCAGGAATTGCACTTTGGGCAGAGCTATATTCCTCCAAATGTTCCGTGTAATTGATTTTGCAGGACCATTGGATGATTCCACTATTTTCCACACTAGCCAAGAACAAGAATCTTCCACCAAAGCACTTATAGTAGGTGCATTTTGCAACAAATCATTCAACTTGGACACTTCTTCCTCTTTCCAAGCAAAAAGAGGCCTTCTAAAAGCTAGCTTCCAGTCACGACCCTCTCCTTTCCTTTGGACAAAATGCAACAGTGACTCACCTTTCTCAGTTGACAATGAAAATAATCTGGGAAAGACTTTACAAAGACTCTGATTACTAAACCATCTATCAATCCAAAACCGAATCCTTCTACCATTACCCACAACTATTTTGACATTGTTATAAAGAATTCACTCAACACAGGATTAGATATATTTACTGATAAGACATCCTGCCATAGAATAGACATCATACCTGAACCCACTAGTAACGGACTCCATCTGCCACCAAACCCTCCATACTTGCTGCACAACACTTGTTTCCACAAAGCATTCTCCTCCCTGCCATACCTCCACCACCACTTTAGAAGTAGGCACTCATTTACCTCCCTCAGATTCCTAACCCCTAACCCTCCTTGAATCTTGCTCAAGCATACCTTTTTCCAACTAACTAGATGTATTTTTGTCCTCAATTCAGATCCTTCCCAGAGAAAGTTAAACTGAATTTTATCAAGTGATTTTACAATACCCATTGGCATTTTAAACAAAGATAAGAAATAGACTAGCAAACTTGACATCACTGATCTTATCAAGGTTAATCTTTCTGCAAAAAACAAGCATTTTCTCTTCCATAAAGCTAGCTTCTTTTTAAATTTATCCACCACTGGCTGCCAGGTGGTCTATCTCCTTGGATTTGCTCCTAAAGGCATACCCAGATACTTCAAAAGCAGCTTTTGGCTATGGTAATTAAGCCTATTTGCAAATTCTTTCACTAAATCATCCTGAACACCTATCCCACACACTTGACTTTTGTGAAAATTAATTTTAAGTCCATACATAACCTCAAAACATCTTAGAATTCTCTTAATAGCAATAATTTCCTACCAATCTGTTTCACAAAATATGATGGTATCATCTGCAAACTGAAGGTGAGATAATCTCAGATCATTTGATCCAATTGAAGCTCCTCTAATCAAGCCCACTTCTTTAGCCCTTGTCATTAATAAGTTAAGGCCCTCTGCAGCTATGTTAAAAAGGAAAGGTGAAAGTAGATCACCTTGCCTAAGGCCTTTCATTGGAGAAAATTCTGATATGGGCGCAACATTAACTAACACTGAGACTCTAGCTGTAAAGATACAAGTCTTCATCCACCTTACCCATTTCTCTCCAAAACCAAAGTTGGTCATCATTGAATACAAATACTCCCAGTTTACTGAATCATATGCTTTCTCAAAATCTAACTTTAGAATGATACCTTGTTTCTTTGATCTCTTCCACCAATCTACCACTTTATTGGCAATTAGCCCCCCATCCAAGATACATATTCCACTCAAAAAGGCTGTTTGCATTTCACTAATAATCTTTGAAAGCACCTTTCTCAATCTTCTTGATAAAACCTTGGCAACTATTTTGTATACTGAACTTACCAAACTAATAGGCCTATAATCACTCAGACCTATGAGATTATCTTTTTTGGGAATTAGAGTAATGAAAGAACTGTTCACTCGTCAAGCCAACTTACCATTAGAATGGAATTCATTCATAAGCTGCACTACTTCCCTTTTCATTATATTCCAGCACTTTTGAATGCAAGTTAAATTAAACCCATCAGGCTCCGGAGCTTTGTTACCATCACAATCGTTGACTACTTGCCAAATTTCCTTCTCTAAAAACGCTGTCTCCAACAAACCAAATTTTACAGGAGTAATTGAGACAAATGCGCCTGACAGTTTTGGCCTAATCTTCCAGTCATCAAAAAATAGTTGACTAAAATACCTCACCACTGCTTGTTTAATTACATCTGGTTGATCAAAGATGACACCATTCTCATTTACAGAATCTAGTAAATTTTTCCTCTGCCTGCTGTAGATGTCCCCGAACGCCCCGGGAGGATGAGTCCCGTTCTGTTCGTATTGGGCTCACTACAAGTTCGGACTCAAATTGTCAAGGTTCTCAATCTGAACCAAAGAGTCCAAATCCGGCAAATCATTTTGAGAAAATAGATTTTTTGAAAGAAGTGTCAAACATGGACTGCTTTGCCAAATACAGAGTCGCCACCTAAATAATTTATTTTTGGGAAATTTAGGAAACCCTGACTCGTTGCCTAAGGCCACGTGTCCGTCATCACCAAAGTTGCCTCGGCTCGGGAACTTGGGTACGATTGGGGAAGGTCACTTCGTGAGCACCCCCGCTCAAATGACAAATGGGCATATACCAACATGAGTGAGCCTCAGCCTACTAACAAATGCATATCTAGTTTTTGAGAAATCTTATGGCGTTCTTTTACCGGTTATGTTTGTATAATTGAAGGTCATTAAAACAGATGCAAGGATGGCTATAAAGCCTATGCAAAAATGGAGAATAAGGGTAAAAGTTCTTACCCTTGAAGACCTTCTCACAAGCACACTCCAGCCCGCTTCTCAAGCTAAATCCATCAAAAACTCTAAAAATCACTCCTTAGTACCTTAGTAACCAAGGAAAGTGTAACTCTACGGTGTTTGTGTGCAACTATGAATACAATGTCACCTTAATACACACTAAATGGAAGAGAGGGACATATAAAGATAGATTGATACAACTATGCTAAAACCCTAATCAGAGCTCGAAATCACCTTCTAACCCTTGAGGAGAGAGGAGAAGGTCTCCCTTTATAAGGAATCACTCTTGTAAGCTTTACAAAAAAGCTAAGCAGAGTGAATCCCTCCATACACGTGTATGGGAGGGGGTGCAGTGGGTCCAGCTAGCACAAAATATCTGCCAAAGTAGTATGCAGACAGTGATTGGCAGCCAAAATAACCATTGACCAGTAAATGGTTGACTGACCAAACAAAGTGCCGACCGACCAAACATTGGCTGATGGCCAACAAAACAATGGCGGTGGCGCTCAGCCATGGCCGGTGAGATGTGGGGATGGCCAACAGCCATTCCCTGCTCCTCAACAGCAAAACACAAGTGTTTAGTAAAACCAAACACAAAACAGGCAAGTCGAGAGGCTTGAGGCAAGGGCGCGTGGCTGAAACTCGGAGAACTCAAGACGAACACGAACATGGATATCATCGAGTGTTCAAAAAGACGGTGACGTCCAAGTCTTGAGGACGGTCAAAAATGGGGCTGTCTACAGCATGTTAATAGCTCATTTTAGATGTGATTTCAGTGCATATAGCCTCTGTACAACTCTACTTATTTCACTATTTCATTGCTTTGAGAGTTGTGTTTTGAGTCTTGTTGCAAGCTAACGTATCAGCAATGTTTTTTTTAGCCTTTAACACTTCAATCTCAGCATGTTTTAATCACTGTTTTGGCATGTTTAAACTCTGTCCAGAGCTAGTTTGTCAGTGGAGCTTTGTGTTGCGTCTGTATAGTGTGTGATCCTTCACTAAGTCCTGAGATACTTTTGGCTCCTAAACATGTTGTGCTGTTTGCTTGCATGTAGTATGTAATCATTTTTGTCATGCCATTTAACATTGAAATATCTGTCAACTCCTCATTTCTTCACTTTCCATTTCTTTGAGGTTGGTTAGCCTTAAGGTGGTTTTAAGCTTGAGAATTGAGACTTGTGCTTAATGGTTTAAATCATCTTTTGAGGGTTTTTACTAACCACAGACATGATCTCTCTCATAGCTCAAATCACCTTGGTTTGATGACGCTCTTCTCTCATTAAGAGGACAATTCACATTGAATTAAACCATTAAAGAATGATCGGTTATGTAAAATGTGTAAACAAAACATGACAAGTAAAACTTGAGCATTAAGCAGTTGTGTTTGTATGCATCAGTGTTTGGACAGACGTTAACCAAACACAAGAAATGTGGGATGTTTCATAACTCAAAGTGATGAAATGTGTCCACGTTTCTTGGTCGCCTGTCACCCTTGATCATACATATAGGAATGGTGGTCGTGTTGAGTCTTATTTTGTTGCATTCATTAAGGCTTGTACAAGCTTGACTCTTTCCATTGGTGCATTGAAAATGCTTGGATTGGTGGCTTGAAGAGCCAAGTGATACACTCTTTGAGCTTGATGATGATAAGGAGAGTGAGAGTACACATATTTTCTTGAAATGCATTGCTTTTGGCCCTCTGTTGCAAGAAAAAAATAGAAGTTGAATGGGGTGGCCGACCAACCATCCTAAAGGAGCGACCGGCCCTTCACTAGCCGACCGGTTGCCAGTTTAAGGTGGCCAACAGCCACTTTTTTGTTAGCCGACTACCACCAGTCAATTTTTGTGCAAAAAGTTGTTCCTGTGTTAGAGTCAGAAGCAGTTTGGATGTTGGTGCAATGTTCAGAGATCAAATGAGTGGCAACAGAGGCATCCCGACGGCAAAGCCAATGATTTTGGGAAGAAGCCATACCGAATGCATGTCTCCTCACCGTCGAGGCCAATTTACTCACTTATTTAAATTGCCTCTATAGTTAGGCATAGCTAATGGTCAATTCAATGTGTTGTAATTATATAGTTTAATTTGTTGTGATATTTTAGCTAACTAAGAAGTTAGTTAATTTATTTGAACTGTTGTAAAATAATTAAGCTAGAAAGTTTAAGTTAATTTCATTTTTTGTATATATTAGCTTAGCTTAGGTGGCTTAGTGTAACAAGCCCGCGGGGACCTCCTACAGCTCGGATCCGTTTGTGAGTCACAGTTCTAATCTGAACCAAAAAGAGTCTCCAAAATCCGGGCAAATCGTTTTGAGAAACAGATTTTTTTGAAAGAATTCCAAATGGACTGCTTTGCCAGATACAAAGTCGCACCTAAATATTTTTATTTTGGAAAATTTAGGAAAACCTGATCGGTTTTGGGGGGCCCCAAAAAGGCACGTGTCCATCTCACAAGTTGCCTCGGCTCGGGAACATTGGGTACGAATTGGGGAAGGTCACTCTTCGTGAGCACCCCGTTCGCCCGATCAAAAATCTCTCTCAA